GCAGCTGTTTTCTTTTACAAGAATTGTTGGGGGAAAGAACAGTTTGCACATGACATGCAATTCCACCCTCAGTCACCATTATTTTTGCCTCCAAGAACCACGAAACTAGAGTGGTTACCTTGACTGAACCACACACCATGCCATGAATATGTAAAAAGGTAACGGTAAAGGTTCCCTTGCTCGAAAGCCAGTCGAATCCGACTCTAGGGTTGCGGTGCTCATCTCTGTTTCAAAGCCTAAGAGCCAGCGCTGTCCGAAGACGTTTCCGTGGTCATGTGGCCGGCATGACTAAACACCAAGGTGCACGGAATGCTGTTACCTTCCCACCAAAGTGGTACCTATTTATCTACTTGCAATTTCTTGCTTTCGAACTGCTAGGTTGGCAGGAGCGAATATGTACAGACACTTCAAACAGGATCTTTTCTTTGACTTTTTTTCATGGGTGTTTGCCTTTCACACAGCCACATTTTTTCCAGTCTCTTGATCCAAAGTCAAAGTAGATTCTACCCTGTGAGCCTGTTCTAGTCCAACACAAGAGAGATTTTCACAATACTCTCTACCCACACGGAACTGCAAAGGACTTGTTTATATTTTCCATTTTGATGGTAAAAACCTCAGATCAAATGATGGGAAGCAAGAACCTTTGAGGTGAAAATGGACTGATTGGAAGGAAAAACTGGAAATGGGGTGGGGGAACCTGAAATGCAGTAGTTCCTTAAAATACTTTACCTCCCAATGAGGTTAATACCCCAGCTCAGAGTTGCAACATATCTGAGGCACAAAACCTACTTAAACAGACCACTAAGGTAATGTCTCTAGAAGCGTGCAGTGTGCCATATTCACAGCACCATAAGCTACCGAGGCCCACGTACTTACAAGTTACAGCTACATCTCTTTTTCAGGACAGTGGTACTGCTTGTTTTTCTCTTGCAGTGTTAGTTGGCTCATAACAGAGGAACGACAGAGAAAAGAGCCTCAGAAGAAAGTTGTACAGATAAATGGTAGGATTTTATAAATTACTGAGATTAAAGCTATAATAGTAAACACATTGAAAATAAATTTTTATTTAGTAAATAGAAAGGAAATTTCTTGAACCACCATCTTGTGCCTCATGATCTGTACCACCGTTAAAGCCAGAGACCAGCATATCTCAAAAGATAAAGCATACATGAATCATTGTTTTATTAGCCTAAGATGCTTCTGCTTGTTGGTGGGTTCCACCCTGAATCGCTCATGATCAAAGAGGCAAGTGGTGACCTGCATCACCACAGCAAATCTACCTGTTCCTTTAAATTAGCACAGACTCATTGCAGCATTGCATAATGGGATCCATGGCTATAGCACACCACTTACAGCATCAAAATAACTCTCCCCTGAGAAATGCAACCTAACTTACCAGCATTGCAAAGCAAGGAAAAAAAGACCTTCCACCCAGGATTTCCAAATTCTCCACCCAGCCCTCAGTCCCTAGGAAGGAGCATGATGTCTGTTCGCTAAGGAATTTACCCAGATTTTGGTCCATCCATGTTGGCTTAGTCCACCAGTTTCTGTGCAAGGCATCCTCAAAGGAACTGGCAACAAAACCTCTGATTTCATCATCCCACATGGCACTCTCTGAATTCTAGCTCTAGTGGCAAATTGCAGTTTTCCTTCTCAAAAAGCCTCTTACATAAGAAAACTCAATTAGGTGACTCTGCTTATTAAAGTTTTCTCAGATGCTAATTACAACCACACAATAGCAACATTATAATTAAGGCTGGAATGCCACATTCTTTTGAATCAGTGGGAGTCTTGGGTGGGACATACCAACCTGTGAGGTTAGTCTGTGCTGGTGAGGCTCAATGATCAAGTCCAACAATTGTTCACAACTGTTAATTGATGACAAGTTACTCTTTTCTGGGGCTTGATGGGCACCAATGGAAGTGACAATGAATGCTTGTGCCTGTTGAGCCTCTGAGAGATTACCATGTTTCAGCATTTACTATATTAATATTTATTTAAGTTATTTATTGGCTGCTTTACTCACTGAAACTCAATGAGGATTATACCATGGAAATCAATGCAACCAGTAGGATGATACATCTAATAAGCAGTGTAATAGGACTAAGACTGCAGAAATTTGAAACAGAGCTGTAGTCTGTACAAAAACTGAAAATAGGTAATCAAGATAAAGAGCGAGTTCAAAAAATGTCCAGTGGAAGGGCCTCTCTGTTTTGTAGTACTGCTGTCCACTGATAGAGTATCAATCACAAAAGGAAATCAGCATATATGTCATCTTAATTTATATGGATTAACTATTTGTATGTTTCATTTTGCAAACAGTACAGTACAGATTTGCAGATCTGTGACTTACAATTTAACTTACTAGCAGTCCCCAGCCTGACCATGTGAAATGCTATGACCCACCCACCCCCGGTTATGGTGGAAAAAGGGAATGCAAATGATACAGATCATGGTACAAGGGAGGAAATCACGGTGGGGAGTGATGAGCAGAAACAGTTAGTACTTAATTGGTATTACTGTACCAGCTCCTGTCTGTTTTTACTCCCACTACATCATCATAATCATTACATTTTGCAGAAAATGTGGTTGTTTTGCCACTGGCACAGTACTTGCCTCCCAGTGTTCATAGATGTTTCCATGTGGTGCTCTTGGGATACAGATCCCCATTCTGAAACTGAAATGGGTGTGCAGCTCAAGATGGGCTCTGATAAAGCTGTTCTGTTTTCCACTATTACTCTAGGCCTGCAATTACACTGGAGTTGCACGAAGTCCCTCCCTAGACTATTTGTTTTGCCCTACTGACACAGTGACCATCAATAATTTGTCCAAGATAACAGATGGCTTCTCTCTGATACATGTCGACCTAAAGGCTGCCTCTAATGGTGAGTTCATGGTCACAGCAAGTAGCACAGGAAGGACACTTGGAGTGGTCAAATGTCTTGAGCCTCTCCTGAGGGCTGCAAAAACTCCCTTGAGGGAGAGAACTTCATCCACTGCCAGTTTCATTGTAGTGAAGAGGAGCTTGTAGCTGCCTTTGCCTAACTCCCCTTCCTTCTGTAAGGAAACAGTTTTCCTCTGGTCCAGACTATTTCCCTTCCCATGAAAAGGAGAAAGAACCTCTTTGGCTCCAGACCCTTGGGGAATGAATGAATGAGCAAAGTGCCTTCCAAATTATTATTGGAATTTTGTCTTTTCTGAATGACTATCAGAAAGAAAAGACTTGCTCCTAAGGTGATCTTTGTGTGTGTATGAAGTGCTGTCAAGTCGCAGCTGACTCATGGTGACCACTCATTTTTTGAGGTGAGATGAACAGAGGTAGTTTGGGCCATCTTTAGGGACTGTCAAAAATGACAGGCATTACCCAACATTCCAGGGGGATTACACATGCATTTGACTGTGAGCCCCTTCTCCACTCAAGAGTGCCTACCACCCTCCACAACCTCTCACCTTATTAGGTTCAGGCTTACAAGGAGGTCAGGACATCACTACCCTTCTTGCCTCTTTTAAAGTCTACAGAGAGCCATGACCATTTCACCCTTCAGGTCCTCTCTGTTACTTAACATCAACAGACAGGGTAAGCCACCCCCTTTAATAACCATCATGGCTCAAAACAGAGTTATGGGGTTTGGGGCTCAAATGCTGTTCCATTCACACAGTTCCCCCATTTATTCAAATCCTAACACATATACAGACTGAGATCTTGACTTGCGTGTGTATTTCTTTCCCTGAGACATTCAGCCCACAGAGTTAAACAAACAAGGGGTGAACTTTTATTTAAGGTTTGAATATAACACTGACGCAGGGGTCATTTCCTGCAGGAGCGCACAGGAGCGGAGCTCTGGCAGTAAAGAGCCCAGGGGGTGGGCACATGCAACAAGCCCCACCCCCTGCTCCCAGCAGCCCTCAGTCAGAGCAAGAAGCAGCCAGGTAAGTTGCAGAGCTCCCCCCTGGCCCAAAACAGTCCAGTGGCACCTTTAAGACCAAGTTTTATTCAGGTACAAGCTCTCCCTCCTCTGCGAGGACAGATCTGCACGTTCCCCTCCCCCCAATAGCTAGCAATCCAAAACAGTCCAGTGGAGCCTGAGTGGGGGGGGTTGTCAGGGGGTGTGGCATATGCAAACGAGTTATGCTAATGAGTTATGCAAATGAGCTCCTGCACCTCTTTTTCTACAAAATGACCCCTGCACTGAAGTAAGCTCGTTTTTTCTACGAAATGACCCCTGCACTGAAGTAAGCTCAACATTACATTTGTTTTCCATTGAACTTCCATTGAACTGTGTTCCTATTCCAGCATTTGAGGATCTTTTGTTACAAATTGACTTTCCTTTCCATTTAGCTTTAAGCTGCTCTTCACCTCAGCTTCATTCACTCAGACATACCCGTTCCCCTCGCACCCCTGGTTTCCAACTCCCAACTGCTGTTTTCCAGCTGTCCCTCTCAGTATTCTGTCAGCTCTCATTGGTTGATCTTGGGAGGGAGGGAACCTAACCTGCCCCTCACAATGACACTCAACACAAAGAAGCACATCCACAAAACTTTCAACACTGAATACTGTTTTAGTGGGCTGGAGCCAACCAACTTTTCTGCTGCTGAAAAAGACAGGACTCTGACTTGTCAAATAGCAAATGGTGAGATCAGGGGAACTGCAATGCATGGACAAAAGCCATGTGAGACAGGGATGACAGAAAGGACAATCACTGAGCAAAAAACTTAGCTGGTTCCAATCCAATGCTTCACAATGTCTATTCTGCCTATCAACAGAATCCCAGTCAGTATTCAGAACCTTGATGTCAGGGCTGGGCCCGCCTCAGAAGAGAGCCCTCCCTGCTCCTCCTCGTGGGCTGAGCAAACCAGGCTCAGAGCGGGCTGAATGAATGAATGAACGCCTTGGGCTCTTTGCAGCCTGACAGCTCCTACTGTTGTTCCATTCAGTACTACTGAGAACGTAAAGAATTACTCCGCGAAGCCTCATGGAATTGCTGGCGTTCGCGATCGCTATGCGCAAATGTACCGACACCGTGACTGAAAGACACCTGGCCAAGAGGCGGCGCCGGTGGGGGGTGTGTGTGTGTGAACCCATCGGAAGAATTCACCTGGGCCGTGAGCCAAGCCTGGCATGTTG